TTTTTTTTTTTTTTTTTTCCTTTTTTCGACTCTTCTTTCTCTCTTCTTCCACATGTATTTATTTCGAACATCGTCGTTCGACGATACGATGTATTGTGATAACGAAACGACGATACACTCGATTCTGCTTCGTCGTCCAGACTGATCAACGCCGATCAACCAACGTCGCTGCAGTGCTGTACTGCACGGACTCAAATTACATTGTTTGAGAAATTCAATAAAAAATGTCTTTAATTTAATCTCGCATATCTCTGAATTTTATTGGTACCCACCGCTTCTACACCTGCCATGAATTCCGTTGATTAATCAATAATAAATTCGTCTCGCGACGAATTTGTTATACAGAGTAACTGGGAATTGCGATAACTGCGATAAATTCCTTTCGAATAGAGTATAGGTTAACTCGCAACTTTTTCTTTCGCTTCACTTCCTTTCGTTGCACATGGACGTAGAATCTTTTACCGTTTCAGGCTTTCGCGAAGATATATTTCAATTTGTTTTATCGTACGTGCGATAATCGGTTCGCGTTTATCTACGATCGATGCTCGATATTAGCGACGCGAAGTAACCTGTGGAGGTTAGCTATCGCAACGCCAGCTGCGCAGTAGCCTTCTGCGCATCGTTTTCTACTCGAACGTTAAAACATGGCCGGAAGTATTATGTCTTTTGGTAATCGTCGCGAGTTTTCCCTCGTCGTTGCTTCGTAGATAACAGTAGCACCTGCGTTTATGCGAACGGCGAGTCCTTTGACGATGGTAAATCAGATTTATGCGTTTCCCGGTAGACCACGTTCTATGCTTCGCGCTGATCGACCTCCTTATCTGCCAATTGAGTAATGGCGCCTACGTTGGCTGCGTGGGTTGGCGAACTGTTATAATTCGCCCACATCGTACTACGTGTACTTCATCTTCGTACCTTTGCTCGTCTCTTTTCCCGGTTTTCCGTGTCCCGTCTGTTTTTAAACGAGTTCTAGGAGAGCTTTGATCTCGGGAAACGTTATTCCAGTGGTCTATGTACTCACAGTTGCGAAGATATTTCAATTCTGTGCTTCGCATTTTGGATAAACGTGTACTGATCGTGATAAAGGAAATTCCATGTTGCAAGAAAGCAGTGATTTTTTAATTTTTAATTCCGTTGCACGGATGAAGCGATTATTAAGATTCTACTGCATGTTAGGGAAAATATTACGAGTTTTTATTTTATTTGTATACGAGATGAGAGACTGGGATAATGTGGATTCGTGTTGGATAGTTGTTGCGTTGGATTCTTTCTGTTAGATAATCTAGGGGAAAGAGATCGGTATTGCTGATTAAATAATCGAGTATTGCGGGATTTAAAAATTCTCACGGCATACCTGAAAATTATCACGGTAAAGTAGCGCGAGACTGCGCTTGAAGTATAGTCGATATAATAATAACGATGGAAAGCGAGAGTGTAGATCAGGGGCGGTCAACCTTTTAGGGGCCACATCGGAAGATGTTTTCGGTTAGGTTACACAAAATATACCTAACACTAACGATAGCTGATAAACAAAGAAAGAAGGTAAAATGTATAATTAATATATCTAAGTAATTTAAACTTTATTAATTTATGAGTTTTTTTATTGTAAACACAGGAAGTTGGAATTAGTTTGACATCGTTGTACACGATTTATTTGACACCTTATATATAAAATTGGATCGCGGGGTGGACACCCATGCTGTAGAAGAAATGGAATGAAAACTGAAATCAGTGATTCTCTCTTTTTTTTGCTTTTTGTTTTTACAAAAAGGCTATTAAAACTGTCTATATTTTATTGAAAGCAAAAATGGAAACAATATATTTTTTAGAATATAATTTTAACCTGATATTCGATACTGTAATACGTTTTTATTCTTATTTATCCAAAGTTTCTGTTGCAATCGCTATTAAGTAATTTTATTTAATTAAAATAGATAAGCCGAAAATTTTCAAGATCAAGTTTTCTGTAAAATTACACTCGAATTCCCATTATTTTGTTATTTATTACATATTTATTATAAACCTAATTCAAATGGTTATTTTAATTCCATTTAGTCGCACTTAACCATTATAGAATCGAATTTAATTGCTATTGAATTATCGATAAAAATTAATTATCGCGAGATACGAATTAACCTAACCTTTACACCCCTTTGACGTTTTTTGATTCTTTATTTACCGAATAAGAAAACAGAAAAGAAGTAACTACTTAAATTACTAAAATTCAAAATATAAATTGCAA